GTATGTTGAATCCCTAACTCCCGATATGACCATATTTGGAGATAGAACGTATAGGGAGGTAATAAAGGTTAAATGAGGTCATAAGAGTTGGAGGCCCAATCTGATAGTATTGGTGTCCTTACAAAAAGAGGAAAATACCCCACAGATTGTTCACTCTCCACACATCACGAGGAAAGGCCATGTGAGAAGGCCACTGTATCTGCAAGCCAGGAAGACAGCCCTCACTAGGAACCAAATGAGCTGGCACCTTGATCCAGGACTCCTAAAGCTCCAGAACTGTGAGAAACTAAACATCTGTTGTTGAAGCCACCTAGTCTGTAGTGTATTGTTATAGCAGCCCAAACCATCTAATATGGGTGGTGAAGCTGGGAAGCACGTCACCAGAGGACACATTTCTGCCATGGTCAACAAGGGAATTTCAAAGGATGAGCCACGACAAGAGAGGGAGAGTCCTAAAAACACTCCTGTGCTCCAGTTGTTTAAACACAGGACAGAGAGCAGAACACTATCAGAAGTATTCTTCTTTCTTCCGTACCTACTATATACATATGAATGAGTTTTATCATCAGAAAGTTTTTAAAATAATATGTATGGTGTACTTTATTAAGTGTTCAATGTAACTCCACTTTTTTCTTTCTCAGCCTACTCCATAATCAGCTAAAACAAAAAAGAATTTTCTACCAACTAAAGGCTTGATTTCGAAACCACTATCAAAAATTTATCATTTAAGCTAGGCTGCTAAATCTCTGGGAAATAAACATGGGGACTTTTTCAAGACGAGAAATAAACTGATGTTCAAAATTACTTCTCAAGAAATATATCTTTTTGCTTTGTTTGCTTTTTCTTTCAATTCTATAAAGGGATTCTGTCTGTTGCTTTTTGTTCAGATTTTTTTTTTATAAATAGGGACAGAGGTAAATAAAAAAGAGATGCCAGGCTCCCCATCCTTGACTGTGACTTCCTGGTCCATTCCTTTGTTGTATGTTCCAACTAACATGGAAAGAAAACTTTTTTTGAAATCATTTTAATGATCACTAGGATAGAATTAAGATGGGGAAACCATCAACTGTAAAGATACGTTTTTGTGACCACAACAGTCAAGATGGTTCACTCCATACTAATTTCCCCAAAGCAGATCCTATTTTTAGGAAAAGGCACTGTAGAAAGCAGTGGCCATCGGCTGTTCTAGTTAACTGAACTAACTGGAGTAAGTGGCCTGGAAGGAGAAAATAACAAAGCCAAACAAGGATACCAGCTTTTAGCCACCAGAATAATGCTAGAGAATATGTTTAGCAGCTCCCCAGAGGGAAGATGATGGCCTCCCCCCAGAAATCAATAAAGATCCTCCATAATATCAGAATTCAAGAAACAGCCCATCTTACCTTATGCTAATGGAACATAGATAATTAGAAATCAACGCTCAAATCCAAAGTTACATACATGCATATATTCTGCCACTAAGTCTGCAATATCTAATGTTATAACTTCATGTGTGCTTTAAAATTACTGTTTCTTTCTTTTATGTTTTTGTCAGAGAGAGAGAAAGAGTCTCATTATTTTGCCCAGGCTGGATTCCAAACCCCTGGGCTCAAGCCATCTTCCCTTCTCAGCTTCCAAGTAGCTGGGATTACAGGCACATGCCACTGTGCCTTGCCTACAATTACCACTTCAGTGGGCAGTTTTTTAGTTTCCAGACAATGTAATTATGAACATTTAATCATTTTTCCCTCCTGTATATTATACTGGGATAAAAATTTAGAAAATGCCTTGGGTTTTGATTGGTTTTCCTCATTAATTAGATGACTCTTTCAAAATATCCTTGACTTTTAGAAGCTGCTTTTTTCTTCTTTTTGTGCAGATAGTAAATAGCAGCTGTAAAATGATAATTTCAATAGAAATAGGCCACTGGAGTAGATACACAGCCAGACTCACAGGAATCTGAGAACGGCAAAATAAAAAATTGCCAATTCTTATGATACTAATTCATCAAACATAACCATGAATATAACAATATTCAAAAGAATAAAGTTTGTGGAAAGAACAATCAGTAAAATTTTCCTAAGTACTTTTTTGTTTTCTGCATTTAGGAAGTAACATGGTACACAACAGATAAACAACGGGCTTCAGAATAAGACATATCTAGGTCTGAGCTCTAGTTCAAATGTAATTGTTATGTATTTGATCTCGGTATGTTCTCAGCTTCTAGTTCTTATTAATAATAGTAACAATAACTGCCTGAGATAGATTGTCCACATTAGTTCATATTTGGGATTCTTGCTAAATCAGTATGATTAACAGATTGTGTTGCATATTATGAGACCAGACCAAAAATCTATCTAGACCCTGTGTGTAGTGGCATGACCACCTGTTTTGTTAGTCACTGTGGAAGAGAGAACCCTTGCTGCCTTCTCCAGCTCCCTATGTTCCACAACACTTGTCCTTTCTGTAATTCATCCATGCAAAGCAATTTCCCTTTCCCATTCCTTGGAATGCTTGTCTTCTCAGTCTTAGCTGGCTCCTTCTTTTCTAGTCTCAGTTCAAATGCCATTTTACTCAGCCCTTTTCTAACTTCCACTGCCCTATTCTTCCTAAGAGATCACCCTGTTGATCTGCAGTTCCCACTACAGGACAGTATCAGGCTTATGAATTATGTGTTGTCTGTCTCCACTGACTAGAATGTAAGCCCCATGAAGGAGCTTGCTCATCTATTTCACAGCTGTATTCTCTGAGCCTACAACAGTGCCTCATACAAAGTAGACTCTCATACTCAATAAGAAATTGTGGGATGGATGGATGAGGAAGGGTAAGGTTTAAATGAATGATAAAGATCCTCCTCTATTCATAATCTGAACACTTTCCATCACTTTCATGGCTAACAGCTGCTCTTAGCCTTCATCACCTCTTCTTACCTAGGTTGCTACAGTAAACATCTTAAGGGATCTGCCGGTTTCTACCATTGTCCAGCTATGGTCTATCTTAACACAACAGCCAGGATAATCCTCTCTAAAACATTTAAGTCACTCTTCCTTGATAAATCCTATGATGGCTCCCCATGTCACTCCAAAGCCCAAGTCCATAAAATAACCTACAAGGCCCTACTTGATGTGGCTTACCTCCTACTTCCTTTCTGTACTTTCTGTCACACATTGAACGGTATCTTCTCTTGCCTTTCTGTCCTTTGAACATGCTAGGTACCTTAGGACATTTGCTCTAGGCTGTTTCCTTTTCCTAGTGCTTTTGCCCATATGCACTTGGATGTCCATATCCGTGGGTTCCTAAGGAATCTGTGGATTCAACCAACAGCTTGGAAAAATAAATGGCTGCATCTGTTCTGAACATGTACAGACTTTCTTATTGGTCCTTATCCCCAAAACAATACAGTGTATTCACATTAGGTACTATAACAAACCTAGAGATGATTTCAAGTATACAGAAGGATGTACCTAGGTTATATGCAAATACTACACCATTTTATATAAAAGGCTTGAGCAGTCATAGATTTTGGTATCCGTGGGAGGTCCCAGAACCAATTTCTAACACAGAGGGATGAATGCATCTCACCAGTTTACTTTCAGAAGTCTCGAAATAATCTGACCGCCCTGTCGAAACCTACCCTGACAACTTTAATACTGCAACCAACCACCCACAGCCATGCCAGCTCTCCCCTTAGGTCTTATGATTTCCATAAAACTTCTTTTAACCTATTGTACAACTTATTTTTATACTATCTTTCCTACCACCCCTTTCTACAACATCAACTCCATGAGGGGAGGAATCTGCTTTTGTTCACCCATGATTCCCAGGCACCTAAAATTGTAAATGGTACACAGTATCACTCATTATCTCTTGAAGAATCATCATTCTCAATATATATAGAAGTCAAGTCATGAGGTGCTTCACAAGATCTACTCCACATGAATGCACACCAGGACCCAGGAAAAGGGAATCCCAAACTTGAAGCCTATGTAATTTCCAGCTTCATGCAGTTCTCTCAAAGCAGGAGGGTTCTGAGAAGCCTGAAGCAAACTGCCTAGATCAGTGTCGTAATTCTTGTTTTTGTGATTCTTACATTCTCTGCATCTACTTGCATTTTGTGTTCCCTAAGTAGACATTTTTGAAACATTCCTATTATAAGAAGCCAGTAATAGATACCATTTATTAAGCACCTAACTACTGTTTATGGTAAATGATGAGAGTTGTGAGTCCATTAGATAGTATGATAGCTGGGGAACCCAGAACTATCCTGCCTTGGTCAGTTCTTAATCAGAGAAATCTACCCAAACCCACTATAAGTGTGGAAAAAACAAATACTGAAATATTTTACAGGCCGGGCTCAGTGGCTCACGCCTGTAATCTGAGTGCTTTGGAAGGCCAAGGTGGGTGGATCACGAGGTCAAGAGATAGAGGCCATACTCACCAGCATGGTAAAACCCCATCTAAACACAAAAATTAGATGGGTGTGGTGGTATGTGCCTGTAGTCCCAGCTACTCAGGAGGCTGAGGTAGGAGAATCACCTGAACCCGGGAGGCGGAGGTTGCAGTGAACCAAGTTCACACCACTGCACTCCAGCCTGGTGACAAAGTGAGACTCTGTCTATAAAAAAAAAAAAATTTACAAAGTCAATTAAAGCCTAATTCTAAGCTGTGAGATATATCCAGTATTTAAGCATACTCTCACATAGCTGAAAAAAAAAAAGAAATGTAGACCCCAGGAGCCAAAGATGACCTGCTTCCACTGTCCCCGGGTTCTAGCATATTCCAAGATACACTGGAATAGGTAGGGGGAGAAAATAATATGCATTCAAAGTGTCAAGTTCAACTAAAGTTGAGACTATAATTCTGAGCTGGTAAAAGTAAAATTTAACTAAAGTATTATCACAGTAATGATGCTTGATACAAGTTGAGTAGCAAAAGAACCATTTCTTTGATCCTTATCTAAGATTTACAGGGCTGACCAAAAGTTGAAATTATTGGCATAAAAGTGATAATATCAGACAAAGCATGGTAAGGACTGCTTTATTGGAGGCAGTTAGTACGAGTCAATAAATATTGATCCCCTAAGAACGGCTCAGTTATTTATCAGATTACTGGTCATAAAGAGCGGAATGAAACTGAACCAAATGATTGCTGTGATGACTGAAGTCAATCCTGCTTCTTGGGAAATGAAGCCACAGCCAGTTGATATATGGCATATGCTGTTCCTAAAAATAAAAAACAGAAAAGAACTTAACTAGAAATTCTGAGATCTAAGTGTATAAATTTAATATTCCAGTTCAAAAGTCGTAAGTTTGCATTAAGACTACCTTAATTGGAACACCAAAAAGTACTTTGATAGGTGCTGGTAAAATTTTAAATAAATAACTGTAAAATATATTTAATCTACTTTTAATATAGAAAATGTGGCACAATAATGTATGTCAACATAATATGCAAAAAGTTTTAAAAATAAGATTAAGAACATGTACAAAGGTTATTTCCATATTAACCAAGATTGCCTGAGAAATGCTAAGGATGATTCAAATGCCAAAGAAAAAAATAATTCAAAATATGTAACCCTTCCCTACAGTGAATTTGAAAAAAGGAACAGTGATAATTTTAATCAAATTTAATGTAAAAAATAGCTGACAACTAGAATTTCACTTTAAAAACTATTTACCAGAATGGCTAACAAATGGTCACATTGGAAAGAAATTTAGAACTTTATCTTCTTTTTTTTTTGAGACAGAGTTTCCCTGTCACCCATGCTGGGGTGTAGTGGCCCGATCTCAACTCACTGTAACCTCCGCCTACCAGTTCAAGCAATCTTCCTGCCTCAGCTTCAGGAGTAGCTGGGATTACAAATTTGTGCCACCACACCTGGCTCATTTTTGTGTTTTTAGTAGAAACAGGGTTTCACCATGTTGGCCAGGCTAGTCTTGAACTCCTGACCTCAGGTGATCTGCCAGCCTCAGCCTCACAAAGTGCTGGGAGTACTGACAGGTGTGAGCCACCTCACCCAGCCTATACTACCTTAACTGGCAAGCAAATGTGTTTTCCCAATGAAGGGATTGTGGGAACCCCAACTTAAAGCCAGTCAGCCAGAAGTTCCAGAGATCCAAACTTGCAACTGGTGGGAAGGAGGGGACAATCTTCTTGCCTGCAAGCTGTGGAATCTGATGCTATCTCCCAATAGATGGTATGGAAACTGAATTGGAGGACACCTAGCTGGTATCCACTGCTTGGTGTGTGGGGAAAAACCCTAACACATTGGGCACAGAGGTATCCCATGTTGATTGCTGTGGTGAGAGCAGAGTGTTTCCTAAATAGGTAATTAACATAACATCCTCATGTTTAAAATTAGGACATATTATAGACTTCATGCAAGATTTACAGAAATCCAAGTATGTGGCATTCCTATGAATACGATGGGCACAAAATAATCACTCAAATATAGCTTCTCTTCTCTTTCTCTTCCAGTAAAAGTATTGTTCCATACAAATTTCATTTTAGTTATAAATATGTCTGTACAGAGTTTAGATGTAAAGTGTGCTTTTATTGTGCATCACAGTCAAAATGTTTTAAAGCCCTTGATTGAAGACGTGGGATATAATGGATGTTTTTGACTGAAATATAGCCTTCAAGGCCACCAACAGTACTCAGAAAGCCACCTCTATCACAAGATAATCATTAAATCTTATTGGTGTTATTTTTTTATTAAGACATCAAGGCCCGGCACAGTGGCTCACGCCTATAATCCCACCACTTTGGAAAGCCGAGGTGGGCGGATCACCTGAGGTGGGGAGTTTGAAACCAGCCTGAACAACATGGAGAAACTCCGTCTCTATTGAAACTACAAAATTAGCCAGGCATGGTGATGCATGCCTGTAATCCAAGCTATTCAGGAGGCTGAGGCAGGAGAATCACTTGAACCTGGGAGGTGGAGGTTGTGGTGAGCTGAGATCACATCATTGCACTCCAGCCTGGGCAACAACAGCGAAACTCTGTCTCAAAAAAAAAAAAGACATCAAAATTGCTCTTATGCAGCATGTATCAATCATCCTCTTGAATCCTTAAATGATATCAAATTCTGGAAACAGACTGCCTGCATTAAAATACTGGCAAAGCAAAAGCAATATAGTTATTAGTTATCATTACTATTACTTTTCTATAAACCTTCAAACATTCCAAATGCCTTACCACCAACTGTAAGAATCATAGTGGCTCTATACAGGATGACATCAACTATCCCACCCTTTAGATACACTGGAATTCCATCGTCCTCCTAGATAAAAAAATAAAAATAAAAAGAATAAGAATAGATGTCTCACTCATTTCCAACTAAGTTTCAGAAGAACAGTCACATAACATGATATAGCTCCTTAAACCCTAAAATTAAAATATTTTAAATATTAAAATGTAAAAGACCTGCAATTTTCTTCTTTCTCTACTACTACTACTTTTAAAATGCGAATTCCTAAAAGTCAGCAGTATTCTTTCAATGTTAATTTGAAATCCATTAATGATGATCTTTCCAAGGAATATATAAACATTAAAGCTACCAAATATACACATTTATCTCAACAACTTTAATATAACTTAAATATAAAAGAATCAATAATTGCCACACATTAGATTCAACTGCAAGAAACTTCGTTTCCCTTAAAAAAATGGGGAAGGGATTCTGGTTAATAACCCTAAATTATATCCCTAGCATCTAGTCCAGCATACAGTAGCTATTTAGTATTATCTGTCCAATAAAGTATTTTATTTTTATGTATATATACTTTTTTAAATCACTTGAATTTAATGGTACATGTCCTTGGCTACTTTTTAATGTTTATATTGTCATATGATCTAATTTATACACATACTTGTTTACCCTAACTCTACCTTTTGGTAATCTAATTATTACAAATAACAATCTTCTATAAAATACTCCAGTACCTGGAACAGCTTTTGTTTCTCTGCAACTCTATTTTTAAAATGCATGCGGGAAGTAGTGCTTATTGTCCTCTGCCCAATCTGACGAAGAGCCTAAAATAAAAATATTATTCAACAGATTTAGAACCTAAAGAAACCTTCCAATCTTACTATCTTCAGTCCTTCATATTATAGAAAAGGTAAATTGAGACTTTAAGCATATCTGATTTGTCAGAAGCAAAGTCATCGAAGAACAGCCAGGTTTTTCAATTTGTCTTCCATCCTCTGCTCTTCCAATTACATTCTGCAGTTTCCAAATACCATATTCAAGAAGCAATTCATACAGATTCTAACCAAAAAATAAAACCATGATATTTACCTCAACAGAACCAGTAGCACTTTATAATCCTTGATCAAAACATAGACATACATATATTACAAAAATAGTGGTTAACCAAAGTACACTAAGCTCAAATATTTTCATATTATCTTCATATTCATATTATTAAAAATCTACTACTTGGCCGGGCGCCATGGCTCAGGCCTATAATCCCAGCAATTTGGAACACTGAGGCGGGCAGATCACCTGAGGTCAGGAGTTCCAGACCAGCCTGGCCAACATGGCGAAACCCCATCTCTACTGAAAATACAAATATTAGCCGGGTGTGGTGGCGGGCGCCTGTAATCCCAGCTAGGAGAATCGCTTGAAACCGGGAGGTGGAGGCAGAGGTTGCAGTGAGTCAAGATGGTGCCACTGCACTCCAGCCTGGGAGACAGAGCAAGACCCCATCTCAAAAAAAAAAAAAAAAAGGCTTGCATTACACATCCAGTTGAATTAAATAATGAAACAAATGTGCTCTCGATTTTCTAAAATAAATTACATTGAGCATTTTAATGAAGCAAAACTTCATTAAACAATTTAAAAGATAAAATAATCATTGTTGCATTTTCCTTTTCTTTTTCCAAATTTGGGGAAATATTTCACATGCTCAAAGTCCGTGGAGGGGTGAAGGGCAATGCAGAATCACCTGACAGAAGTAACGCTGCACTTCAGCCATGACTAGTTCTAAAGTTCCACCCAAAATTGAATGGCTTGGTTTTTAAACTGCCTTCTGAAGTTGGCAAAGCTCAAAACTACTGAAACTTAAAACCTTTCAGTACCAGAACACCTTCCTGCTTGCTGCTTCCGGGTATCAGACACTCCCCACCTGGTTCTAGGTTTTACCCAGATCAGAGCTAACCTCGTCAATGGCCCACAGCGTCAGGGGAGGTGACTAAGAACCCACGAGTCTCTGGTCACTTCCCCAGTCTTTCCACTGTTTACATCTACCCATCAACGGCCTGGGGCGAGAAGAATAGATAGAAGGGAAAGGAAGGTCAGGGGAAAAGGACACGAATCCAAGGTGACCTCGTTAGCCGCCTTTTGCATCCCTCCCAGGTGAGCGTTTTCTGCCGCGGCGCCTTAAACTCCTCACCACTCCCTCGCCCCCTTAACGAATGCAAGTCGAGAAGCTGCTCACCAGCAGATTCCGCAGCATCTTGGCTCAGTTACTGACCACCAACCGCGACAACTGAACACCAGGAACGAAAAATCGCCACGGCCGGAACCGGAACTACCTCCGAGTCTTGCGTAAGCATTCAGGAACCTAAATCTCTCCGGGCGGAAGAGAGACCTGCGCTTCTAACCATCGAGAGCAAAAGAAAAACTAGAGTGACAGTACGGTCTAGACACTCTAGCCGACTCGCCGTCTCTGTCCCTTGTCTTTCCAGACCTTCTTTGAGATTCAGTGGGATGCTCCCCGGAGCTAAGGCTGGGAAAAGGCAAACGATTTGTGAGGCGAATGTAATAAGCTTAGATGAAGTCATTGTGAAACCTGGGCTATCAAAGAAAATTAGTGTCCGTTTTGAGCGAGAAGGCGTAAAGCTGGGCAACCTTTAAGCCGCTAGAAACTGAACAAAGACTGAATTGGCCGAAATGCAGCCGTAAAGCCTCATAAAATACAGAACAAAAAGAATTACTCCGATACAATCAGTTTTTTCCACCGAAGAAAATTGCTGCGGCGCATTAGTATTCCTTGTGTCGAGAATATGCTGTAAGAGCTGTGTCGAGATACCAATTTTTATCTTCTTGTGCCTTCGGCCGCTGCAGAACTCCCCAGGCAAGAAGCTCTTCCACAGTGTCCCCAAATTGTGGAAGGGGCTCGCTCGCTTCTGAGGCTGAGCAAACGTTGGGAGACAAGAAATGGGATGGCGAATGTGAACTCAAAAGGCTTGCTGTCCCAAATCCAGCAGGGCACTATACACTCCATGACTGGAGTTGAGAGGAACAGCAATTATTTATTGTACTGAAAGGCTGTTGCTGTCATCCATTTTGCTTAAGTAATCCCCAATACAAGTGTCGTTATTTCTTGTGCGTACCCTCAAGTGTGTACAAATGCAAATATCTCCCCTGTATTACAACCATCTTTCCACCTTTCTACAAACTCTTACAAATTGTGATTGCCACTCCAAATAAGAAACCCGGGTTCAGCAAAGGATAAAAGTTAGTAATATTAAAACTATTCCTTGTAATCCTTGAGGGTTTCTTCTTCACAATCTACTGTATGTCAATGGACCCACAAGTTACCAGTACTAATTAAAATTCTCTTCCTCACCAAAGTTTATAAACACTCCAATTCATGTCTTTCCTGTATTGGGACCGAAAGGACCTGGTTTTCTACCCCCCTCTAAATTATGTACGTAACCAAAACTTTGGGCAAAATTACCGTGTGCCAATAGGTAGGGCATGGTTTTTTATTTTTTATTTTATTTATTTATTTATTTTGAGACGGAGTTTCGCTCTTGTTACCCAGGCTGGAGTGCAATGGCGCGATCTCGGCTCACCGCAACCTCCGCCTCCTGGGTTCAGGCAATTCTCCTGCCTCAGCCTCCTGAGTAGCTGGGATCACAGGCACACACGACCATGCCCAGCTAATTTTTTGTATTTTTTTTTTTTTTTTTTTTTTTTTTTTTTTTTTTTTTTTTAGTAGTGACGGGGTTTCACCATGTTGACCAGGATGGTCTCGATCTCTTTACCTCGTGATCCACCCGCCTCGGCCTCCCAAAGTGCTGGGATTACAGGCTTGAGTCACCGCGCCTGGCCAGTTTTTTATTTTTTTAAGTAGATTGCCATTAATCTCAATTTGTTAGTTGTATGTGCTCTCTTATGTTTTCTCCACTTAGCCTACTCTAGATTGTAAATTTCTCAAGCGCAGAGATGATGTGAATTTCTTAACAATGCCCTAGCACTGCTAAAGGGGTTATTCACTAACGAATACATGAATTAAATATACTGGGTGACAGATCTAGGAAGCTTACGACCCTGTTCAAAAAGAGCCATGGATTCACATTAAATCAATCCTAATGTAGATATAGATTCTTATATGCATGTTATTCAGTACAATTTCCCCTTTACTAGATCATTCCATCTAGCAACTGCTCCCTTGTAGTCTTTCCTGGATCCTTAATCCTCTTAACCTCTAAAATTTCAGTTTCTCACCTTTTTTATACATTCATCCCTTTTGTGATTTCATCTAGCATTGAACTACTACTCCCACCTCTGTAGATTGTATGAAGAAAAAGTTTTTTAAAAAATACTATTCACATGCTGATATGTGACAAGCATCTCAAACTTACACACAAAATTGAAAAGTAATGAGCATCTCAAACTTACACACAAAACTGAATTCTACTTTCCACTTCTATTCCCAAAGTTCCTCCTCCACAATTTTCCTCATTTCAAGCCCTAAACTTTGACTATTTTCTATCACACTCTATAACCAATTTATTAAAAATTTCTATTGGCGGCACCTTCACAGTATAATCTGAATTGGACCACTTCTTATTATCTCCAACACTATTATTACTATGGGCCAAGCCATCATCCTCTGTTGCTCAGATTATGTCAAAATCCTTTTTAATGGATTTCCCTGTTTCCACTCTTCCACTATCTTCCACACAGCAATGATTCCTTTTTTTTTTTTTTTTTTTTCTGAGAGAGAGCTTCCCTCTTGTTGCCCAGGCTGGAGTGCAATGGTGAGATCTCAGCTCACTGGAACCCCCACTTTGCAGGTTCAAGTGATTCCCTTGCCTCAGCCTCCCAAGTAGCTGGGATTACATGCGCCTGCCACCACGCCAGGCTAATTTTTTGTATTTTTAGTAGAGACGGGGTTTCACCATGCTGGCCAGGCTGGTCTCGAACTTCTGACCTCAGGTGATCCACCCACCTCGGCCTCCCAAAGTGTTGGGATTACAGGCATGAGCCACTGTGCCCGGCAGCAATGATTCTTTTAAGAACTTAAGTTGGATCATATGAATCTGCTCTAAACTCGGTTTTTTACTCATGTATCCCTGACATCTAGAATAGTAATTGGCACATAGAAAATGCTCAATATATATCAGTTAAATGAACTATATACTGCACAAAAGAATGGATTATTGAGTATAAAAATTCAAAACACCTGTCTTAATACTTGTACTCCCTCCAAATGTTTTCAATCCCAGGGTTCCTCATTCATTATCTCCTTGCTCCTTTTCTGTAAATTCGCGATTATTCTCACATACAAATGACTGAAATTTCCCTGTGTACTTAACAAACTTGATTGGATCTTCCTAAGCACACTAGAAACGGGCCACATTTTAAAATTCATCCTCTGAACCAGAAGTTCCTTTCAAAATAGATTCCTTTCCAAAACATCAATTTGGGGTTCTTTTATCCTTGCTCTTTTGAAATGTTAGAAAATTAGAAAATGATTTTTTTGGAAAATACTTACTCCAGAGGGTTTTGTAACAGTATAACAGAATTGGCAGGGGGAATATGTGGGAAATATGTGAGAAACTAAGGTAGGTCATGGTTAATTTAAGTCTTGTCAGTGTAAGATGGACATCAGATGTAAAACTACTAAGTAAAAATATTTCATAATAACTGATGCCAAGTTAACAAAGCACAGTTACCCAATCTTTTTTTCCTTTAAAAAGCAAACAAGACTGTACCTATGCAACAATCTTGCATGTTCTTCACATGTACCCCCAAACCTAAAATGCAATAAAAAATAAATGAATAAATGAAAAGCAAACAAGATAACCCTGACTTAGATCCTGCCTGTAGAATCTATAAATAACAAAAACAGAGGGAAGTCTGAATAGTTTTGTGAGATTTGGATGTGTGTGTGTGTGTGTGTGTGTGTGTGTGTGTGTGTGCGCGCGCGCGCGCGCGCATGCGCACACACACACATCTGTTAATTTTAGAACCATGCTTAATCCACTTTCAATTTTATAAAAATATAGAACACTTTCATGTGAACTTTAATGTTTCAAACTACTGGTTAGGTAAAAGATAATATTTCAATATAATTTCATATTTTATCACATTCTGAGTCATCTTTGAAAATGAGGAAACAGTTCCTGTCTTAGTTGTTGTTTCGGTTTATTATTACTTAATTGCAAGCCTCAGACTTTTCATCATTGAAGTTAAAGAGTTGGACTAACTCCCAATGATCTTTATCTCTGACTCTAAAATCCTTATGATAAACAATTTCATACAACATATGAATGAGGACTAAGCTCTGATTTCCTTTTTATCTTGCCCAAATTCCTATCTGAGAGGTCTGGGGAGTCAGGCCCTACAAACCACAAATTCTCATCAGATGGGTTTTATTTAACCCTGTATATCAGGACTCACTTTCAAATCTGAGTCTGACATAAGAAGGAAGAAAATCAAAATGTTTTACCCCAAAACATGTTTCTCTGCCATATCTTGAAATTACCCTGCAAAGTCTCTTGTGGGAAAAAATCTGCATTCTACAGAGAATCCCTTTCCCCCTTTGTTTTCCTTCCTTCTTTTCCAGATCCAGGAGATAATCAACTAAGAGCCAGGCACCCTTTAAAGTCCATTAAGAAATATTTTACAACCTGCTCTCTCTGTAGTCTGCTCAACTTCCTCTGCACAATAAAACTTAACTCTCCACAATCCTTTATCTTAACCTAAACATTTCCTTTCTATTGCTCCCAGATCTTCAGATAAACTCAACCAATTGTCAACCAGAAAATGTTTAAATTTACCTTTAGCCCAGAAGTCCCCTGCTTTGAGTTGTCCCGCCTTTCTAAACCAAACCAATGTATTTGATGTTGCATGCCTCCCAAAAATGTATAAAACTGAGCTGAACCTTGACCACCTCGGGCACATGTTCTCAGGATCTCCTGAGGGCTGTGTCACAGGCCATGGTCACTCATTTTTGGCTCAGAATAAATCTCCTAAAATATTTCAGAGTTTGACTCTTTTCATCAACATGAACATGAGTCACTTTCTGTTGAACAATAATTTACTGGCTACCCACAATAAATATAACACTTTGTAATATACTTAGGGGAATTTTTCTTTTTTTGAGACGGAGTCTTACTGTAGCCCAGGCTGGAGTGCAGTGATGTGATTTCAGCTCAGTGCAATCTCCATCTCCCTGGTTCAAGCGATTCCCCTGCCTCAGCCTCCTGTATAGCTGGGACTACAGGTGCACACCTCCACACCCAGCTAATTTTTTGTATTTTAGTAGAAACGAGGTTTCACCATATTGGCCAGGATAGTCTCGATCTCCTGACCTCGTGATCCGCCCACCTCAGCCTTCCAAAGTGCTGGAATTATAGGCATGACCCACCACACCTGGCAGGGTATATGGTTTTAAAGTCTGTGATCTACTGGAAAATCTAACCTAATTAAGAATATAATGCATAGCCGGCGTGGTGGCTCACGCCTGTAATCCTAGCACTTTGGGAGGCTAAGGTGGGTGGATCACCTGAGGTCGGGAGTTCAAGACCAGCCTGGCCATCATGGTGAAACCCCATCTTTAAAAAAATAAAATAAAATAAATAATATATATATATATAATACATACATAACAGTAAATTTGATGCAGACATAAATAACTCTCCAGGTAACTGGTACAACAAAAGTTGTATGGGAAATTCAAAGAAAGTAGTGGGCCAAGGTTGCAAAAAGACAGAATTTTGGCAGTCTGGTAGAATAAATGAAGCAGAAATTAAAAGTCATTCCAGACTTAGGACAAGAACATGATTAACAATCAGAATTTGGAATCAAGCATTGATGTGCTGCAGGAATTGTAAAAACAGAGGCCTAGATGGAGTGAAAAGAGAAAAAAATACTATTGTTAAGCACTTGGAAGTCAGAGAGATACTGAATCTGCCACTTAGTGGCAGTGACATGACTGAAGGCAAGGTACATAATCTATTTATACCTCAGTTTCTCTTATCTTTAAAATGGAGATAATAGTATTCATCATCATTGGGTGGCTGTTAAAATGAAGTAACTCAATAAATGTTTACTATTACAGGAGGAAAGTTTGGGTAAGAAGAAAAATTTACACAGAAGCTATAACATAAATGTCTTGGGGAATTGCAAATGGTTTGGTTTTGCAGAATAAATGAAGAATTGAGGTAACTGTGGAAGGCTGATTTCAGTGAATTTAAATATCTTGAAGGGGTACTTAGAGTTTCAAGTAGCAAACTGTTAAAATCAGAGCTCTATTTCAAGATCATTCTAGTAATGCAAGGTGGTACTGAACATCAGTTATTAAGGTCAGAGAGTCTGTCAGAACGCTCTCACAGTAATCAAAGGAGGAAGGAAAACCTAAACTAAATCATCAAGAGAGATTTAGATAAGTGAAGGGATGAGATGACCAACTAAAAGGAAGAACATTCAAAAAAATCAACAGAATACAGTCATTTATTGAATTGAGCAGCTGGAGAAGAGAGTTAGGGCTTCTGGCTTACCTCAAGGTA